GGTAAACAGGCTTGGAAGTAGAAGTGGCACCCACTTACCCACTTCCGTAATAGCTCGCCTCCAGAAACTCTATGAACTTACAGAAATGATGAAAATTATGCAAGTGTTCAGGTCTTTCATTCGCAGGATCTCTATGAGTCATCTAAAACTCGATGGCACTTAGCAACAACATATATATATTCTTATATTATTTCAAGCAAACTCATTGCCTTTTAGTTGGAATCCATGGGTGCTGATCTTCTAACAGTTTTGCAGAGTTGTAAATCACATGAGAGGAGATTGCCAATTTTTCTTCTATAGAATAGCTCATGGATTTGAACCAACTCTCTCTGGATTGACAGCTCAACTCCTTACCCATTAGGCCACCAGACACCATTATGCTACTATCTGGAATTTATATTTACATGCTATATCCATATATTCTTATACTACTAGCAAAGTGGCAGGTTTGGGGAATTATTTTGATTTTAAGAAGTATCTCTGGAAGTATATGTGAGGATAACTAAAAACTAAAAAAAGTAGCTGCCTTAAAAGAGGGAGATAAAGGCAAAAATTTATTTTTTTATTACTTTTTAGAGTCTTTTGAATTTTGTACATGCACATGAATTGATTGCCTATTAAAATATTATTTTTTTCAAATTTACTTGATTCCTAAATGAGGATATTTATTTCAAAATAGCTCAACAAAAACAAAAGCCATAAACTTGCAGGAACACTGAAAGACAATGGACCCATAGATATGAGTACAAAAGTCCCCAAGCTCATGAAACCCAGGCTAATGGGTGAACAAGTCAGCCAATTATTAACAGTAAGAAGTACAACAATAGTGTTAAGTACAGGAAGCCCAAGGAAAGGCACCTAATAAATTACTCAGCTTGGAGAAAACCTAGGAAGGTTTCCAGGATCTCAGAACCCAAATAAAGACTTACCCATGTGCCAGGTTATACTGTTAAGTTATGAATAGGTGCAGGAATACATGATCTTCAGCTCTGGGATGCCAAGTCAGCCAGATATCTACAGCCTCAACTTATTGCCAATGTGACCCCTGACTATCATTTTGTGCGCACATGATAAGAAAGAAGTAAAGAGGGTACAGAACATCTGTGCCACCCCTTTGTTGGGCATAAAAGGAGCAGGGGTGAGACAGCAGCACATCCTGCAAGGCAACCATTGACTGAGACACAAAGATGTTATACCTGGAGGAAATAGGTGATGTGAGAAGTGGTGCGAAATCGGGGGAAATAGAAAACACATTGGCAAGGTCCTGACCATTGTAAGGACATCAGTGAAGAATACAAACAAAGCCATGAGCATTTAGAAAAACTGCATTCTATTCAACAATATTTGGGAAAATTAGGATGGTGTCAGGCTGAAGAGAAGAGAACCATCACATTGTATCATGAGGAACACAAGCAACTAACCCAAGTCAATGATAATGATTAAAAGTACGGTATGACTGCACTCTGAGAGTCTTAAGGGCACATGGACAAAGGAGGTGAAGAAAGAGTCCAACGTGAGAAGGAGGCCAGACTAATATTAATAGGCATCATTTGTTCAGCCCACCTAACACTGCTAGTTACATTTTACAGATTTTTGGGCACACAGCCAGGAGAGACCAGTCCTTGGAGAAGGACATCCTGCTCAGAAAGGTGAAGGAGAGGAAGACTCCAGATGAAATGGATTGATACAGTCGCCAAGGTAATGAAAGTAGGTGTATTGGAGTCTGGCTCAGGATAGAGCAGGCTTCAGATCTGTTGTACATAGAGCTGGTACAATTCACAGACTCAATGGCACATAACAACAACAATGACAATGAGGAATGGGAAAGGAGGAGAAAGGGAATAGAATTAAAGAATAGATAAATTGGATGAAGGGAAAGGCAATAGACAATATGTTGATCAGACATTGTAGTTGCTTAATTAATTATGTTGTTGTTGTTTACCATCAAATTGGAAAGGACCCATAATTGACTCTCCAGCAGGTTTTCAGAGGCAATTAACTGCACAGGAGGAGACTACCCACTCTTCCCCTGTGGAGCAGCTGGTAGCCTCAAATCTTGTATATGAGAGATGGAAATAAATTGGAGCTACAGTGTTATAGAACAAAACATGTATGAATGACCTACTGAAAAATAGTGTTGTACAAAATATTTCATAGCTAGTACTCCTTGAGTCTTAACCGTACACCAAGCACTGTTCTAAACATATTGCTTTAATTATTTCCCTTAATCAAGGTTTGTATCCATTGTCCATAGGGTCACTATAGCCATATTCAACTTGATGGTTTCTAAACATTACTATTATTAATTTATTCTTTCTATTTTGTATATGGTAAAACTAAAGCACAATTAAATAACTTACATCATTTGCATTAACAAGCAGTCAAACACTAAAAAATCTGAAGCTTGAGATAAAATTTGTATCATTTCCCTATATAAACTAACAATAAGTGAAATGAATACCTATAGAGCTTTAACAATGAATTGCTATAAAATGGTAAGATGTCTTAAGGATCACTGTCTTGAAATAAGTTATTACATAAACATTTTATTTTATGACACTGGCTCTTGAAGCAGCACAAAGGGGGGGGGAGTAAAAGTGCATGTTTACTTCATATCATTGTTAAAATTTTTCTGAATTTTCTGCCACACTGGATTAAGTAATTACAGATGTAGGCTTTACATTCAATGTTTAAAAAAAAGAACATGAAGAAGGAGTGAACCACAGTCTGCATTATATAGGAGGCCAGCAATAATGCCATACCCTGGTTTCTAAGTGTTAAATGAACATTTTTTAAAAATTGATTTTTCCTTGGAGGTTATAGTTATAAAAAATAAAAATGTGCCTTTGAAATCCATCATGCCCACACACTTTACTGTGTATTGCATGGTAAATTTGAAAGAAGAGAATTTTCTTCTATAGATTTGTTTTCTCTATTTGAAATTGTCTAATTGGGGGAAAGAATGATTCAAAGCAGAAAAGAACAGTAAACTCCTGAAACAACTATAACTGTACTAATAGCTGTGGACTTAACATTACCGTTATAAGCATTCCACCACTTACAATTATGTTTAGCTCACTTTAAACAAGTTCTATTTCAGAGACAACTGAAGCATTGAGTCACCACATACCATAGCATAGACAGGCATTGAGTCACCACACACCATAACATAGACAGGCTTCTAAATGATTTAGGAACCCTGGCCACCTCAAAGTCCTTAAATAAATGATCATATAAGTATTTCTACCCACGTAAGTACCGACTAGCTAACTGCGGATGTTTGCCAAAGTTGTTTTATTATGGTCATATTAATACCACTTTGCTAATTAAATATGAATCAATTCAAGTGGCACAAAATTATTATTATTACTAATAATAATAATAAAGCAAAATCTCAACTCTCTCTACGATGTTTGGCAGGAAAGCCATAGCTAACAGCCTGGGACTGGGGGCTGGGAAGCCTTCACAGGGCCTGGAGGAGATTAAGACTCTGTAGGCCCACGTGTGTCAGAAAAGAACTGAGTTTCCTTGGGTTTTTGATGCTTGATTTTCCTCAGTGGATCGACAGAACATTGATTTAGATGCAACTGTAGGTGACTCTGAACGCCAATCTTCCTGTTTAATCATTTACTCCACACAAGGCTGGGAAAGGGATGGAGCAAGTATACAAGTGATATGTATGGTTCTGAGGCTCCTGCTGTGGGTGCCTCCCCTCAGCATCCCCAGCAGGAAAGCCCCATGCTGTCCCACTTTCTCCAAACACCATTCACAGGCGCCAAAGTCAAGGAGCCCTGAGGGGCGCGCGGAAACCACGCAGGGCAGGGACTTTCAATTTCTTAAGACAATAAAGCTGAGCCAAGTGGTGGTTCCTCGCACTGTGGGAAGCAGGCACTCGTTCGCTTTGAGCAAGCTGAGGGAAATGAGTCTGTCAGTTCCCTTCACAGGCACTAAGGGAATGTGCCTTCCAGCCTGGGTCCCTGTGGAGCCGCCGCTCGTCCACGCCTGGTCCTCACACGCTGAGCTCCTGAGTAAAGGAATGGCCCGCCCTGGTCTGCAGCGGTCTCAGCTCAGCTCAGTGCCAGACACTTTCCCACGATGGTGGTTTGCATTTCGCCCTTCCTGCTTATTTTTTTAAAGGAATTCTTTTTTTAAAAAAATGGTAGTACATGTCTAATTTCTTATGTTGCATATATCAAAATGTTTTCTAGAAATATCTGTGATCACTCAGCTAACAAGAAGCAGCGCGGGTAACATCATAGGTAGGGCAGGATTGTCTCTCTCAGAATGGACAGAAGCCGTGACCACTCTTCCAGAGTTTCCATTTCCTCGAACCTTGCACCCAGAACCCGGCCCGGCAATGAGTAGTGGAAGTCCGCCCCTCGGCGCGCCCGGGCCCCGGAGTGAGCGGTCTGGCATCCGCGGGGCTGGCCGGCCTGGCCACTCGGAGCCTGCACAAAGCAAGCACCCAGGGACGCGTCGGGGCCCAGGCGTCGTGTGACCCCGGACAGCGAAGGACCCGCCTCTCGCCAAGTCTCCCAGCGAGACCTTGGACCCCCAAGGGGCCCGCAGAGCCTGTCCTGTCCCCCGCGGAAGGTCAGGCGTGCAGCTGCAGGACAATGAAGGCGACTTGGGAGGACTCCTCTCCCATTCATTTCCCCGCGCCCGGCCAGCGACGCGCCTCCCCGCCCTCCGAGAAGCCATGGGGCGCAGGAAGGCGGAGGACCGCGCTGGTCACCACTGCACCACTGCCCGCAGCACCTCGCTCCAGCCAACCCGCCCCGAGTGTCCGCAGCGCCAGGCCGTGCTCGGGCAACGCAGATCTCCCGGCCCCCGCGGGGACACGCTGTCCAGGGGCCGCGGAGACCCACGTGTCCCACCCCCCGCCCAGGGTGGAAGCAGCGAGCTTTGTCCCTCGCGCCCTCCCGCCAGCCCGCTCACCTCTCTGCTGGCACCGCGCGGCCACCCAGAGCAGCGAGACGAGGAGCGCGCCGGACCGGTGCATGTCGCCGGTACGCGCGGAGGAAGACGGCCAGCTCTGCCCGGGTCGCGGAGAGCGAGGTCTGAGGCTGCCGCCTGCGCTGTCCTCTCCCGCCCTCGCCCGCGGGCACACCCCCACCCCTCCTGCCCCGAGACCCCTCCCCCGGGGGAGGGTCCACTTGTGGGCTGCTCTGTCCCCAGGGACTCCAGTGGACCAGCGTCTGGGGCTCCCTTGCCCTATCTTTGATTTGATGGGCTGCAGCCACAGGGGACCAGGTGGGGAAAGAAACAGAAAGGGGGCTGCTGGACCCCTGGAGGACTGCGGATTCCAACAAAGTATCTACGCCACTGACCCTTCCTGCCCTGGCGCTGACTGTGGAGGACAGGACGCTGAGCCCGCGCCCACAGTCTTCAGCTAGTGGCCAGGGATTATGCGAAGATTTTTAATCAAATGAGTTGTGACTTGTTTTCTACTTTGCTTGCCTAAGGAGAGCAGGGTGATCTTTGGATCTAATTAGTATTAACGTAGCCCCAGTGCTGGAGCGAAAAAGCATTCATTCTTCGGACGCTTTAGAGCTTAGTCTTAACAGGTATTTCACATGCTTTGTACTTCTATTTAGTTCATTTCTTTTTAACACGGATGTTTTCTTTTCTCTCACCTTTTTTCCTATCAAAGTCTTCATAACCTTCGGCAGATTTTACATCCTCACAATACAAGTGCATGAGCTGAGAACAAACAGGTCCTGGAGAGGGTACAGCCAGAGAGCTCTGTAAAGGCAAGGATGGCAAAACTTTATCTCTCAGATTTTGAACATGTTACTAGGAGAGGCTATGGAGAAGGACATCCTGCTTGGGAATATGGAGAGATAGTGGAGGAAAGGAAGCTCCTCAATCATGGACTGCCACAATAGGCTCAAGTGTGTCAGAGTGTGAGGATGGCACAGTATAGGACAGAGTTCAGATCTGTTCCTGGGATCACCATGAGTTACAGTCTACTCAATGGGATCCTGCAGCAACAGATAGAGTTATGGCTACACTACACTGAAATCCCCAAGGCACATGGATCAAATCCACTAGCTGTTCCCAGGAGAAAGATGAGCAATCTCCTCCCATGCGATTAAACTGACTCTGAAAATCCACTGGAGGTTCAGCTATGGGTCAATTCAGATTCACTAGTACACAGGATTAGGCCTTAGGGAGTTGTTCTACTAACAACAAACAACTTCTCTGTCAATTCTTCACAGTTAACTTGAATCCACCAGGCTCTAGCTCACGTGCAAAAGATAGGGGTAATACATCCAGTGGGATTTGCTCAGAAACACCACTGGCCAGTGTTATGAGTAGGTTCCCACTCATAAAATTCAGAGGCAATGAATTGAGTAAGGCAGTCATGAAAACTACTTAGCTACAATTAAATTCTTGTTGTTGTTGTTCTTGTTATGTGCCGTCGAGTTGTTTGCGACTCATAGCAGCCCTATGTACAACAGCCCTAAACCCTGCTCTATCCTGCGCCAATCACATGGCCTCTGACACATCCATCCCGATTACCTCAGTCACTGAATCAATCCATCTCACAGAGGGTCTTCCCCTCCTGTGCTGTCCCTCCACCTTACCAAGCATGATGTCTCTCTCCAAGGACCTGTCTCTCCTTACAACATGTCCAAAGTATGTCAGACGAAGCCTCAGAATCCTTGCCTCCAAGGAGTAGCCTGGTTTAACCCTCTCTAGGATGAATCTGTTTGTTTTCTTGGCAGTCCAGGGTACATTCAATACTCTTCTCCAGCACCACAGCTCAAAGGCATCAATTCTCCTTCTCTCCTCCCTAGTCATTGTCCAACTCTCTGATGCATAACAAGTGATTGCAAAGACCATGGCCTGTATCAGGCGCACCTTAGTCTCCAGAGAGACACCGTTGCTCTTGGGTACTTTAGAGAGGTCACTAACAGCAGACGTTCCCATCGTGATACATTTTTTTATTTTCTGGCTGCTGGTGCCAAGAGTGTTGACTGTGGAGCCAAGCAAACTGAAGCTGTGAACAATCTCAATCTCTTCACCATCCATCCTGATGCTACCAGTTGGTCCAGTGGTGAGAGGATTAGCTCTGAATAGTTGGTTCCTTTTCAAAAGCAGTATGAGTATACCATAATTTCTGAATCCATTCATTTGTGGTTGGACATTTGGGCTGTTTCCATTTTCTTTTGATGGTGAATATTGCTGCTGTGAACACTGGTGTACAAATCTCCATTTGTACCTCAGCTCTCATTTTCTCCGGGTGATTTTGTAAATTATTACCTAACTTGCAAGGGACTGCAGAGCATTATGCTGAGTGAACTAATTCAGTCCCACAAGGACAAATATTGTATAAAACCATTATAAAATGAGTATAAGGATCCAAGGGGGATGTAGGAAGGTGGAAGCAGAAGGATGAGGATGTGCAGGGTGATTAGTCCTGAGGTTGTATGATTTGATGGGTGGGAGGGTGAGGAAAATGTAAAAAATCTGTACTAAAAACCAATGCATTCAAATTTTGTAAATAAACTAGTATAAAAATATTTGTAATGAATCAATCATTGACTGTACAGAAAGAAAAGCAATGTGAGTAAGAATGAATGAGACACTGAGGGAATAGGGTGTTAGATTTGGGGTCTATGAGTGAACACCACGGACAATTGGCATAAAAAAATAGTCCACAAAGATAGTCTACTATGTCCCACTTTGGTAAGCAGTAACTAGCGTCTTAAAAGGCTGCATGGTGGAGTGGACTTGGGGGGGGGGATTGTATAACAATGAAAGAATTTTTATTTTACTTTTCAAAGAGCAAACTTGGGGGGCGGGAAGATTGGGCAGGGAGAAAAGTGCAACAATGAATGAATGGAAATAAAAAAGGAAATGCATTTGGTCAGCAGTATGGAGCTGGAATCCAGTTTGGAAGTTGTTTGCAGTAGTCAGATTCTACAGAGGCTTGTTTGTTGGTTCTGGTGAGAATTAGGGTGGAATGTTGACTTGCTAATGGATGTGAGATGATGAGATTTGGCCTCCTATTTATCTCTATGAATGTGGAGAAATAACGAAAGTTATACAAGTGTCCAGGTCTTTCTTTCATAGGGTCACTATGAGTCGTCTATGATTTGACAGCATTTAACAACAATAACAACAACAACATAGAAAGACCTCAGTTAGCCTAGTGGACAGAAAGTGATGCTCCCAAGCCAAAGGTGGGTTATTTTAGTCTGCAGCCTTCAGGTCTGGTTTTAGTTGGTTTTGGTCAAACATTCTTCTAAGTGATATAGCACTGTTCTGTCCATTTGCTGTACGGAGGTAACTCGTGGTTGTTGTGATGCTGAACGCATTCAGAGCAGCAACCAACCATCTTCCAGAATAAAAAGAAAGTGCTATTGGGTGAAACTGGCAAGGAGAAGCTCCCGCGTTATTACAAGAGCATCAGACTGGGCTTCAAGACACCCAAGAAGGCCATTGAGGACAACTATATTAATAAGAAATGCTCCTGCACTGGTAATGTCTCCATCCCAGGAAGAATCCTGTCAGGCGTGGTAACAAAGTTAAAGATGCAGAGGACCGTTGTCATCCGCAGAGATTATATCCACTATATCCATAAGTACAATCGCTTCAAGAAGTGTCACAAGAGCATGTCGTCTGTGCACCTGTCTCCCTGTTCCAGAGATGACCAGATCAGGGACATTGTCACCATGGGCGAGTGCCAGCCTATGAGCAAGATCGTGCTCTTCAGTATGCTCAAGGTCGCCAAGCAGTTCGAAAAGTTCTGAGCCAGAAATCACCCCTAAGTGCAATCAAGCCATTTAGAAGAGGCCTGGGCAGTAGATACATTATCGCCAATGTCAGATGGATCTTGGCTAAGAGCAGAAAGTACTAGAGGAATATCTACCTGTGTTTCATTGACTATGCGAAGGCATTTGACTGTTTGGATCACAACAAATTGTCGCTAAACTTGAGAAGAATGGGGATTCCAGAACACTAGATTGTGCTCATGCGACACCTACACTTGGACCAAGAAGCTGTCATCTGAACAGAGCAAGGAAACCCTGTATTGCTCAAAATCGGGAAAGAAGGGCATCAGGGATGTGTTCTGTCTCTATACGTTTTCAACCTATAGGTACAACACAGTATTTGGGTGGCTCGACTTTATGAGGAGGAATGTGACATCAAGATTGGTGGAAGACTAATTAATAAAATGTATTATGCAGATGACACAACCTTGCTTGCTGAAACTGAGAGGACCTGAAGCATTTACTGCAGAGGGTCAAGGACTGCAGTCTGCAATATGGATTGAAGCATAACAAAAGAAAAGAAAGATTCTCATCACTAGGACTATTGGCAGCATCATGATAGATAGAGATTGAGATTGTTAACAGTTTCAGTCTGCTTGGTTTTCAAAAGGCAAATAGCATTATAAAAATCTGCTGTCAGGGGTCTCTCCAGAGCACTAAAGAGCAACAGTGTCAGTCTAGAGAGTGTGTCTCAGGTGCGCCTGATAGAGGCCATGGTCTTCATAATTACTTGCTATGCATCAAAGAGCTGGACAATGACTAACTAAAGATGACAGAAGAAAAATTGATGCCATTGAGTTGTGGTGCTAGAGAAGGATAGCCAAGAGAACTAACAGGTCTGTCCTGGGAATGGTAAAACTGAGCGGCTTCTTGGAGACAAAGATTTTGAAACTCTGTCTCACACACTTTGGGCATGTTGCCAGGTTGAGCCAGTCCTCGGAGAAGGACATCATACTTGAAATGGTGGAGGGACAGACAGCACAAGAGAGGAACCCTCTGATAAAATAGTTTGACACAGTAACTGGGAAAATGGGGGTAGATGTGTCAGAAGCCTGAGATTGGCTCATGATAGAGCAGGGTTCAGAGCTAGTGGGCATAGGGTCCCTGAATTGGAGTCAAACTGACGCCACATAACAACAACAATCTGTACATAAGTATACTCTCACATTTTCCTTTTGAAGGACAGCTGATTAATTCAAACTGCCAACCTTACTGTTAGTAGCTAAACACTTAACCACTGTACTATCACACACACACACACACACACACACACACACACACACAACCAAGTCCACTATTGTTCAGTCAATTGCAATTTATAACAATTTCCTAAGGGGTTTCCAAACCTATAAATCTTCATTGGAGTAGACAGCCCATATTCCTATCATGGAGTGGCAGGAAGATTTGAACCACTAATTTTTTGATTAATAATCTGACATGATACACACTACATCACTAGAACCCTTTATGTTGGTAGGTGTGTTGAGACAGAACTGGCTCATTGCTGACCTTCCAGGACATTTTCAGAGGCTGTAAATTGCCTTTCTCCTGTAGAGCAGCTGGTAGATTTAAATTACTTAACTCTGAGTTGACAGCACAACTCTTTACCATTAGGCTACCAGAACCAGGAAACTACAAGATGCAAGTGACAACACTTTATCACTGCTTAAAACTGAAGAAAAAGATTTCAGAAAAAGAATTACAGAAGCCAGTAATGATGAGTTTGGATAAACTGGACTAGACACAATGCTATAATTCCTTAGGTGTTCAAAAACTTTGTGGCACAATTTTTCTTTTCTTTTTTATTTTAATGAAAATTTACAGAGACTTTGGATTTCCATTCATTCATTGTTGCACTTTTCTCCCTCCCAGTATACCCTTCTCTTTGAAAAGTAAAGTTCCCTCACTGTTTTACAATCCCTCCCCCCAGGTCCACTCCATTATGCAGCCTTCGTTCTGGATCCCTGTCATGTCAATAATACCTAATCACATATACCTTTTAAGCTGTTTACGCCCTCTTCTGTTTCAATGCATTATTTATCCCATCTTTCTCAGTCTCCCTCCAACCCCGAGGCCAGTCCTATTTTACAATAGTAACACTATGCAATATTTGTCCCTTTGTGACTGAGATATTTCACCCAGCATAATGTCCTCCAGGGTCACCTATTTTTAGTAATATTGCATGAATTCCTTGTTTTTCAATGCAGCATAGTATTTCATTCTGTGAATGTGTCACAGCTTCTCTATCCATTCTTAGGTTGTTTCTAACTCTTTGCTATCGTAAACAGAGCCATGATAAATGTGGGTGTGCAGCAATTTTTCTATTCTTTGGCATCATAGGAAACATAGAAATTACCAGTTGCACAGGGAAAGTCAAGATGACCTGCTCAAAATGTAAATGAATATACAAGTGTTCTCATCTTATAAGAAGCTAAAAATACAGTTCAACTAGGTATTTTTAAATTGCATACTTCAAAGTCAACTGTTTTAAAATGAGTCATTGAAATTGTTTAAATATCAAACAATAGCCAAATTACTAAGTCATTTACAATAAACAAACATACTATGTAGTAATGTAAGAAATATGGGGCTTCAAACATTTGGGGGGAAAAAAGAGTATTGTGATAAGTGAATGTCATGGATGAATTATGTCCCCCAGAAATAGATTTACATAATGATATAATGCAGAAGCTGTATAATGATTCTGCAAGATTTGAATAACAAAGTTACATAAAGATTAAAACACAAATATAATGCTCCTTTATCACATCACATCCCTAATCAGTTATAAAATTAATTCCCCTAGTGTTTGACTAAATCTGCCTTATTGTTGTTATGTGCCATTGAGTTGACTTCAACTCATAGTGACCCTGTGTATAAACAGCTTTGAACTCTATGTTGAGACAATTTCATTGTCTCTGACCCACCTACTGCCATTACCCCAGTACTGAGTCAACCCATTTTATCCAGGATCTTCCTCTCTTGCACTATCCCTCCACCTTTCCAAGCATGATGTTCCTCCAAAAACTGGTACCTTCTTGCAGCATTCTCAAAGTACGTCAGACTGAGCTTCAAAATCCTTACCTCCAAGGAACAGTGTGGTTCCACCGTCTCCAGGACAGACCTATTTGTTCTCTTAGCAGTCCATTGTATATTCAATATTCTTCTCCAGCACCATAACTCAAAGGCATCAATTCTTCTATTGTCTTTAGTCATTGTCCAGCTTTCTAATGCACAACACAGCAAGTAATTGCAAGACCATGGCCTGGATCAGGATACCTGTATCAGGATACAGTCTCTAGACTGACATCATTACTCTTCAGTAGTCTGGAAAGGTTCCTGACAGCAGATGTTCCCAATGTAATTAGTCTTCTGATGAGTGGAAATAAATTGTTCCTAAGGTCCTTTCCCTGATAGTGTGGCCATGACTGATCTCTACTGAAAGTGTTTTCCTATTCACTTGATTTTTTTTAAATCTTCAGCTGAACATTCTTATGAGACACAAATGCCTTCTTATCTTTGGTATATCCACATACTTATTCCCAATTCCTCTGTTACCTGTTTTCTAGACATGTGCCTTTCAAGTCATTGACTGTCCACCTATATCATTGGTCTACTATCCCACATCTGACCATTTATTCTTCTAAGTAAAGTGTACAGAAGCACAAAGTTCTCCACATCCAGAGGATTTTATTTCAATACTGTCTTTCAGGGAGGGGAAGCAGTGCTGTGACTGTCCATTTCCAAATGATACCTACATATCATGAAAACCATCTACAAACCAGGAGCAAGTGGCATAGTCAAGTAGGCAGTTGAGTTGCTTAACCAAAGTTCAAATCTACCAACCACTCTTCAGAAGAAAATTGAATAGTCTCCTCCCATGTGATTTTACAGCCTTTGAAATTCCTGAAGGGCCAGCTATGAATCAGAACCAAATCAATGGCAATTATCATCCTCTTCATCAGTCAACTGATCATAAGGAACTCCCCAGGAGGTCATGGATTCTGATTGGAAAAGAGACGACAATGAGAGAGGAGTGGAGACTTTGGTCATTTGGGCAATTAACCTTATGCCTTCAGGTTCCACTTAAACCCAATCTCTTATCTACCACTTCCATTTAATGATGAAGTTCTGATGTCCAACTCTCTAAATCAGAAGATTCACAGTTCATAATGGGCAGCTCAGGTTGAATAGTGACTTGGTGAGCCATGCTTAGATAGAAATTCTTCTAAGTTCCAGTGGCAGGTGAAAAATCTGTTTTTCAAAAGGAGATTATCTGCAGAGGATGGAAAAACTTGGCTCTAAAATCCCAAGGATCTTCACTGTGATTCATCAATAGGAGCCTTCCAAAGACTCTAAACAGCAACTATTTCTCCTATTGACTCTTCAATCACTATTGGCCAGCTGGATCACACAGCCCAAGTGACAGAGAGGTTTGCATGGTACCCTAACCCTGTTATACAGACTACTTTTCTTATAGCCCTCACTAACAGAGTTTTGAGTCACTTGATTAAAAGGTCAGAATAACACACCCAAATTCTGTCCTCAGAATTCAAATAACCTCACCAGGAGCTGTGCCTCCTTTTGCTCACTTGTGGAAGTGACCAGTTGAAACAACTTATTCTTCATGTTAGAATATCTTGACATGTCCCATTCCATAAACTCCCTTGAAATTTCACTGAAGTAGGAGCGTGAATTTGTTATGTTAATTTCTCACCATCTAGAACGCAACCATCTAATATGTTTAGAGGTACTGATGTTTCTCCTTTCCTAGATTCAATCAGTTTAGTATTATCACTATTGTGTCATCTTGTGGAAGAGAAACATGATCGAGAGCCCTGTGGGTTAAGTGCTGGAGAATCACCACCTCTATATCCTCCAGGTCCTTGATTGTGGCACTAGTTTCTGAAATGCTTCTGGGATAATAACACTGCTTTGAGTTTACTATTTTCCTAGGTAGAGGTAATTCTAATGGCTTC